GCGGCTTATACAAGGTGCGGCTTATACCCCGGAAAATAGGATAATGAAAATTGGAAAACTCAAAGAACTTCAAAGGTACTATATTTTGAACTCCAACTATGCCCAAATGTAATAAAATCAATTGATTTTCAACATAGTCAATGAACATGAAGGTAAATACAACAAATGCATCGTATCGCCAATTTTGAAATCCGGTTTTACTAGAAAAAGTGTATAAATCGAAAAACTTGCCTGATTGACTGCCTTGATTTCTTCTAAAGTTTCATTTACCAATGCCGCTTTGAATAATTTTGCGAAAAAGTCGCCACTAAGATAGTTGGTCTCCAGATTCAACTTCTTCAGTGCTTTGTTCATCTCGACTACTGTTATCAATACCTGGAAAACAAAGAAAAAAGATAATTGGTTCCCAGTTTCAAGAATACTTTGAGGTTCAATATATGATGCCGTATCAAAATAAGAGAAGAGAACCGTTTTTTGACTTATGCCATGAAAGTTTGAAAACGCAGAGTTGATGCTCATCGTTATGCGATTGTGAATACTAGCAGCCAGTAAGCGCTAGATCTTATGAGTATCTGCTGCAAGATGACCCAATATAACTAATAAAGAGGCTTCCAAAAATTTAGCATCTCTTCAAAACCCACAATCTAATAATGCCAGATTTTTCGTGCTAGATGTTTTGGATTAGCTCACAGCAGTGATGACATCAAACCATCAATCAAACACTCGTACACTTCTTGCCTTCTTGCCCACCTCTGCTGCGATCATAGAAAAATGCGTATGAATCAGTAAATAATAAAAGAAAAATTCCCAAAAATATGTGATCCTGTTATAATTTTTTTCCAAAGCCAAAACGTTGTGCAAAACCGACAGTATTACTGTGTGAATGACGGTGTAGTTCATATAGGATAGTAGAACTCACTGCAATATCGTTATCATACAGACCCATATTAGCAAGTGACAGTCGTTCACAATGTTCATTATATGCAAGAGATTCGATTAATCGTCGAATTTGTGGAATAGGTGTGCGCTGGAAAGATACATATAACATATTGAAAATTAGATAAAAATCAAAGATTTCCAAATTCAGCGAGTTTCAAGAGCACAAAAAGTCTAACCTTCATATTATTCAAATTGATTTCTTTGAGGGCTGCATCGTTATCCACAAGTTTTTGGATACACTGGTCGACATCGGTATCGTTGTCGGGCTCTGTCGGCCGAGTCTGTTCGGGAAGGCTGCTTTTTACGGGTGCGTTGCCAGTGTCATTCAAGATCCGTTCGGCTTCTTCCCATGAGATAATCCGGTTCTCGTTCATGGCTTCTGAGAATCATAAACTGAGCGATAATTGAGTGCACTAGTAGACTCAATCACTCACTTAGCAATTCGCCAATTTCATGATCATCCTCGCCTCCCATGGCCTCAATTGCTTTGACAAAATCCTCGTCAGTCATCAGCTCCTCCGTTCGGAGCGCACCAGGCGCGTGAGGCACGGACCCGGCCCCCGACATCTGTATGCAATAGAAATTTGGTTCGGAAAGTATTATGAATGGAGTCTATAAACGAAAAATTCGCGAGACAGCATAGACTAACGGGGAAGTATTCCAACATAACAGACGATTGAAGACGATATGCGTATCATTAGAGCGTCTGTAAACGCTGATTCCAAATCTGCTTTCCTTTTTTGTGGAACAACTTTCCTAAAGAAATTTTAAGAGCTTTGGGTATACAAATATGTCAAGTCTTAAGTGGCAAAAAACTAGCGAAAAACACCGATGCCATTTTCCATCGGCTTTGTTCCTTCCTTGCAGGCAATAAACTTGATACAAAATTGATTTCCCTTTTTAGTTCTGTAAAGCTTTTCGCCAATTTTACGTCACTTGAAGCTTGACAAATTTGGATAATCGAACGATCGTAATTCATTCGGAAAGTGGTTTTGGAAAAAGCAGATCCGGATCAGCGTTTGAAGACGCCTTTAAAGATATACTAGAGTGAGTCAAAAGTAGTGAGAACTTCGCATCTCTTCTTAGA